GTCCTAAAGCAGAGCCCACAATCACGGGGCCGCTGCCACTGCGGGTCCCCGCTGCCCGGGCAGGACGCCTCGGCCAGAAGCGTTAGGCCTGGGCAGGGGCAGAGCGGGAGATAGCGGGGAGCTGCTGGTCCCTGCTGTCCACGCCTAACGCCTCGGCCAGAGGCATTAGGCCTGGGCAGGGGCAGAGCAGGAGATAGTGCGGAGCTGGGGGTCCCCTGCCCAGGTCTGACACCTGTGCCGGAGGCCTCAGGCCTGGGCAAGGGGCCGATCAGGTGATCGGAGGGTGATGGGGGTTGACGCCTCTGGCCGAGGCATCAGGCCTGGGTGGGGGGCGAAGCCAGCAATCGGAGGGGGCTGGGGGTCCCCTGCCCAGGTCTGACACCTGTGCCGGAGGCCTCAGGCCTGGGCAAGGGGCCGATCAGGTGATCGGAGGGTGATGGGGGTTGACGCCTCTGGCCGAGGCATCAGGCCTGGGTGGGGGGCGAAGCCAGCAATCGGAGGGGGCTGGGGGTCCCCTGCCCAGGTCTGACACCTGTGCCGGAGGCCTCAGGCCTGGGCAAGGGGCCGATCAGGTGATCGGAGGGTGATGGGGGTTGACGCCTCTGGCCGAGGCATCAGGCCTGGGTGGGGGGCGAAGCCAGCAATCGGAGGGGGCTGGGGGTCCCCTGCCCAGGTCTGACACCTGTGCCGGAGGCCTCAGGCCTGGGCAAGGGGCCGATCCTGCGATTGGAGGGGGATGGGGGGCAACGCCTGAGGGCTCCCAGTATGGGAGAGGTGGCAGGCTGGGCTGAGGGACACTCCCCCCCCCCCCCCCCAGTGCACGAATTTCGTGCACCGGGCCCCTAGTTTCTTTATAAATACCATAATGTTGTTTATGCAGAAGTTGGTGACAGTGTTGAGTCCATGCCTGGATAGTTCCCCATTTTATTTTCATTTCTCTACATCTTTATATGGGCAATACTATTCTTTTCCTTATTTGTCCCTCAGCATAGAGAACCCTTGCCCTGTTCTTTTTAAGTGGCCAGTTCTCCCCACTCCTAGCAATTTCTGTAGTTAGCAGCTTTATAATTGCTCATATTTGTAGGTGACACCTAGTGCTTAAATGCCTCTGTACTTTCAGGTAGCATACAAGCCAGTTTACCAACTATTTTTTGGAAAATATCATGTCATGATCAGATGTCATGGAATAAGGATATGATGGCTGTTTCTATTGGATTTATAGACTTAAAGAATTGAAAGAGAATTTATAAAACATCCTTTGTCCAATGCTTTGCCTTTCCAGCCCAAGGTCTGCATGCCAGGATGCACTGTACATACAATTCCATCCTGGACCTGTAAACTCTTAGGGAACCCTGAGTCTGATGACAGAGAAGCAGTTTCCTACTTCCCCAAGCCCTTGCAATATTCTCAAAAGCCACATAATTAATGTTTAGGGCTCCCAACTGACTTGCTCTCAAAGATGCTCCAGAAGATGTCATTGTCCACAGGCATACTCACTCTGCTTCCAGTTCCATGGACTATGGTTGGTTTTAATTACTTCTTCCTTCCATTTGTTCCCTTGAAACCTGGTACTGTTATCATTGTGCATCCTGTCTAGATCATAATTAACTCTAATTCACTGTCTTTTTGGTTATATTGTAGATGCTCTGGAGGGCAAGATCAAGTCTTGGGCATCCTCTCTGTGCTCTCCACAGTCCATGGCACACAGCAGATACTCTACAAGCCTGTGCTTTTGAAATATAGGAAAAGGCAACAGAGGTCACAGCATTTGCCTCCTAAGCACTGAACCCCCAGTCCATCTGATATACAGCTGACAGGTCAATTACAGTTAAGTCTGATTTATTTAGAATTCCTCATAAAGTCCATTTCTTTGTCCTAACATTCACAACATGCCTACAATAAAAATTTCCAGTGTCTAGTTCCTTTTATTATTCAAAATGATCCCATAACATCAGCATACTCACTGTTACTCATTTGATTTTCTTGCACAGCATCATTTACTCTGTCTAGGGTTAACCGTTCCTCAGTTTCTTTTTGGACTTCCTTCACTACCATACTCTGTGGTTCCCGTGAAGGTGATCCTACCCCCATCTCTGAGATGGGGCCAGGTGGGTTGGTGACTCAGGAGCAAACCTGAGCTTATTGCATTCCTCAGTACCTATGATTGGCAGGATGGGCACCCAATCCAGCTACCAGGGCATAAGGAGACTTTTGCTGGGACTTCATATTTATAATGAATCCCAACTTGGGGAGGATAGTAGGCCTGGAGCTG